ACAGCAGTGAACAACAAACTGCTTTAGAAAGATGTAGCAAGAGTTACTGCAGTGGCCCCTGAGGAGTCGAAGGATTGGCAAACACACTGATCACGTTTTATTTACGGCAACATCAGCGGCGGATTACCCTCCTGGGGGCCCGGGGCAAGAATATGATGTCTGGCCCCTGCTAGCCGTCCCTGTGCATGGTAATTTCAGACCAACCTATTCCCACTCCCAAGTTGACACATATGGACGCATGGTCAAGACCCGTCGGCGTCTGTTTGGAAGTTAGCGTCAAACTTCAACGAACAGGGGGAAGCCCTGTAGCATCAGTTTGCAACGCTAAAGGTTGGTGTAGCATATTTAACAGAAAAGTCAGAGTAAGGAGAAGAGTGGGGTGGACATGCGGTTGTTATTTCAGCTTTACGTAAGTTGCATAACTTACATAAGTAACATTACTTGACTTACACAAGTTAAGTCACATAAGTAACGATGTTATTTTAACCCAATCCATGATGTTTTTCTAAACCTAACCAAGTGGTTTTGGTTTCTAAACCTAACCAAGTGGGTTTGGTGCCAAACATAACAAAACTGCGACGTTTCAGTGTTTTTAGAAACTTCACAACGTTCTGTTTCAAACTTTAACCACTAGTTTTATTTTGAAAGTCTAACCAGATGTTGCATATTTATTTTTGCTAACTTGACTGCTTAGCAACAGGCCTTCTGTGTACATAGAGAAATTCTTAGATCTTTGAGTTCAGCTCATGATGAATGGGGGCAAAAACAAAAGGGTTGCCTTTAGAATTTTGTTCAGTATAAATCAGATCAGCCTTCAGCATCAGTTCTTCTAGGTATACCTGCACAAAGTCAGGGATTTGGTAGACATATCATCAGTGTATGATTAAACGATTAGACCCAACAGGTGCTAATGATCATAAATTCAATATGTAGGTTGAAACACAATCAGTGATAGAGTTTCCAACATTGTGTGTGATGCCGTGTCTTGTTATGTCTGTATTGACCGACGCTGAGAGCTCACTCGTTAGTTTGAGCACATACTCGCGAAGATGGTGGCTGCAATCTGAAACCTCACCACTGGAGGCCACTGAAAACTACACATGCCCCTGTAACACTGTGTCACAACTAAACTGGTGTATCCCTGAGTTACTAAATTATTGTCTGATTCTTCTGATTTACGTGTTGTTGCAAAAGAAATTTAAGGAAAATGAAAATAACACGCCATGTCACGACTTTCAGTGTGTGGTACCAATGCACATGGCGGCCTGTAGCGTCATAGCTCAGCGCTAAAAGTATTTCTATAAATAACAGAAAAGTCCAAGTAAGGATTCTTTTTAGTGATGTTATGTGAGTAATGTAGTTCTTTTAAGCCAAATCCTGATGGTTTCCTAAACCTGACCAAATGGTTTTGGTGCCAAAACCTGACCAAGTGGGTTTGGTTTCTAACCACATCTAAGTGGTTTTGGTGCCCACACCTGAACAAGTGGGTTTGGTTTCTAAACCGAACCAAGTGGGTTTGGTTTCTAACCACATCCAAGTGGTTTTGGTGCCCACACCTGACCGAGTGGTTTTGGTTTCTAAACCGAACCAAGTGGTTTTGATTTCTAAACCGTACCAAGTGGGTTTGGTTTCTAACCACATCCAAGTGGGTTTGGTTTCTAACCACATCCAAGTGGTTTTGGTGCCCATACCTGACCGAGTGGTTTTGGTTTCTAAAACTAACCGAGGGGTTTTGGTGTCCAAACCTGACCAAGTGGTTTTGGTTTCTAAACCTCACCAAGTGGTTTTGGTTTCTAAACCTAACCAAGTAGTTTTGGTTCCCATAACTAACCGAGTGGGTTTGGTTTCTAAACCTCACCAAGTGGGTTTGGTTTCTAAACCTAACCAAGTAGTTTTGGTTCCCATAACTAACCGAGTGGGTTTGGTTTCTAAACCTCACCAAGTGGGTTTGGTTTCTAAACCTAACCAAGTAGTTTTGGTTCCCATAACTAACCGAGTGGGTTTGGTTTCTAAACCTCACCAAGTGGGTTTGGTTTCTAAACCTCACCAAGTGGGTTTGGTTTCTAAACCTAACCAAGTAGTTTTGGTTCCCATAACTAACCGAGTGGGTTTGGTTTCTAAACCTAACCAAGTGGGTTTGGTTTCTAAACCTCACCAAGTGGGTTTGGTTTCTAAACCTAACCAAGTGGTTTTGGTGCCTAAACCTAACCAAGTGGGTTTGGTTTCTAAACCTAACCAAGTGGTTTTGGTGTCCAAACCTGACCAAGTGGTTTTGGTTTCTAAACCTCACCAAGTGGTTTTGGTTTCTAAACCTAACCAAGTAGTTTTGGTTCCCATAACTAACCGAGTGGGTTTGGTTTCTAAACCTCACCAAGTGGGTTTGGTTTCTAAACCTAACCAAGTGGTTTTGGTTTCTAAACCTAACCAAGTGGTTTTGGTGCCTAAACCTAACCAAGTGGTTTTGGTTTCTAAACCTAACCAAGTAGTTTTGGTTCCCATAACTAACCGAGTGGGTTTGGTTTCTAAACCTCACCAAGTGGGTTTGGTTTCTAAACCTAACCAAGTAGTTTTGGTTCCCATAACTAACCGAGTGGGTTTGGTTTCTAAACCTCACCAAGTGGGTTTGGTTTCTAAACCTAACCAAGTGGTTTTGGTGCCTAAACCTAACCAAGTGGTTTTGGTGCCTAAACCTAACCAAGTGGTTTTGGTGCCTAAACCTCACCAAGTGGGTTTGGTTTCTAAACCTAACCAAGTGGGTTTGGTTTCTAAACCTAACCAAGGTCATGGTGACGTCAGAGTGTCCGGCAGCAGACTAACTCTTCATATACTCAGAGTTTATTGTCTTTAATCTTCATCTCACATTTCATCACAGATCATTACATCATCGCCATAATCAGAATATATGATGACATCACTGAAATAATAATAATAACAATAATAAACGACAACAAACATGAAGTGAATAAATCAGCTCCGACACACCTGATGAAGAAAACAACAACAAAACTGTTGCCATGGCAACAGAAAGGCACTTTGGAAGACAGGCACTTAGAGCAGCCAACCAGAGTCCAGAATGAGCTGACAAGGCAAAAGGGAGCACGGGAACAATCGTCTCTGATTAGCTGAAGGAGAAAGGTCAAGTCAGCTGTGTTTCAGGCAAGCGGCGGACTGAACAGTTTGTTGTATTCTTCTTCAAACGAGACTCTCTTCAGACGCTCCGACGCCAGCAGGGTGAGGCCTCCCTGCACACACAACACAACAACAACAACCACAACAACAACAACACAAACACACACAACACAGAGAAATACACACAAAAAACCAAGATGTGTTACCGGTGTGTGATGTTTTTAAATGTTTCAGTTTACACTCACAGGATGTTCAGATGCTGCTGGATGTTAGAGATGTTAGATTACACACCGATTATTTTCATTATTATTATTGATAGTAGTAATATTAGTCGTTACAGCCAATATGTCTGAGCTAGAGTCCAGGTCAAATCTCTGAGCAAGAGTCTAAGTCAAGTCTCAAGTCACTGAGCTAGAGTCCAAGTCAAGTACAGAGCACAACCATGTAATGTGCAATGCAATTATTGACGGCTTATTAACTACTGTAAGTCAACACATCCCCCAGACTCTCAAACCCAGTGTAACGTTAACTAAATAAAACTGTAACTTTGCAGGATCAACAATAAACCTGGAACCAGTTTGCAGCCAGCGTTTATAATCAACGTCATGGCAGCCAGCGGGACGTAAATGATTACATTAATCGACCACCGCAAGTTTGGCAAGCAACAGTCTGAGTTAACCTCTCGTAGCTAAAGCAAGAAGCAAGCTAACGTTAGATGGCCAGTGCTGAGCTAAACATGTTCACTAACCTCAGGTTACTAACCTATTTGTGTTCAGCGCGTCTTTGTTTGGGTCTTGTATGAAGTTTTAAGGTCAAAGTTTATGATGAATGTCTCGGTAGCTGCCGGTGTTCATTGTCCTCTCTCACGTGAGGCCGCGCGCAGCAGATACTACGTGTTATGTAGGCAGGCTACAGGTAACAGAGGGAGGGAATAACAGCACGCTCATCAGACGTTTTCTAAAAATAAACATTGTTCACGAGTCCCGCACCTCGAGTCCGAGTCAAGTCTGAAGTCTTTTGAGGACGAGCCTCCAGTCGAGTGTCTTTGCGACTTAAGTCGGACTTGAGTCCGAGTCTCTAACTCATCTCTGCTATAGGCACACATAGTTGCTCATATCATATCTTCATGACGTCAGTTTAATATAGTCATTTATACTATGAGGTCACTGATGCTATAGAGCAGGGGTATTCAATTAGATTTCAAAGAGGTCTAGTTAGAGAAAATTTCCCGAAGCAAAGGTCCGGAACATCAAAACGACGAACGTTATCATTCAGTACTATAACCTATAGTTGTATCAACACATGTTTTTAGTCAACAATGGACTGTCAAATCAAATAATATTTGATTCACCAAACTGGAAGGATAATAAATAATAACTATTCAAATAATAAATTCTAAATTTAAGTAAACTAAATTAAAGTGCCTCATTTTTAGAAAAAATGTAATAAAAAGTGTAGCTTGAAGTGATGAAGTGTAGTCTTAACCAATTTTATAATAAACACTCAACACATCATAACAAATGAACAGCTGTAATGCCTCCTCTTCTCTTTCTTTTCCTCTTACAGAGCTACCACTTTCCTACTTTCTGTTGTTCAGTGAGAAACGTGAGCTCCAGCTAGCATATTGGAGATCTATGAGATGTTCTGGTTTTGAACTGCCCGTGGGAGGAATGTACATGTAAAAATCTGTACATTCTTAAATAAAAGTCATGTGAAATCTCTTTTATCTTTCGTCTCCTCAATTCGGGTGTGTTTCCAAAACGTCTCTGGTGAATCTCGTGGACTCGACTCGCAAGCATCGGTATGCGCAGATTTGATTGGCTGAGCAGCGTCACATGAGACGATTGGAGCACATGCGATTGGTCTGTGAGTTTCCTGGTCCTCTAAACCAGTACAGTAAATGCTAGAAAAGCTGCACGGGTTAAAATAGAAACGCTCCGTCACGAGGTAGTAAGTCTCAATAATAAATGGGCTGTAGGTCGGCGGTCCGGAGAGGACGGCGGCTGGGTCCGGATCCGGACCGCGGTCCGCCTATTAGTGACCTCTGCTATAGAGGACTGATCCTGACAAATTCAGAAATAAATAAATGTTCAATAAATAAATAAGCATCCGATTAAATGCATGAAAAAATTAAGTAAATAAATAAATGTAGGCAGTAATTACATTATAAATGTATATATCTATTTTAATTAGCTTCTTTACTTATTCACCTTTGTAATAATGACCTTATTTATTTATTGTCCGTTATAATCTTCAGACTGCAACATGTGTCTTTGTAAAGAGAGAAACGGACAGAAAAAGTCTCTAACTCTGCCTGTCAGCTCGCTCTGCTCTGTTAAAACTGAATTTACCATACAGAATTGAATACGAGTGCACTCCAGATTTAGCTGCAGCCAGCTGACCGTGTGCTTCTCCCTGTATCACAGTTCTGTGTCCATGCATGCAGCAAACTGAAAGCACTGTCTGTCAGAGTGTCCACATGAAAAGAGAAGGAAGACATGGCTGGTAGTGTATTCAAATAGTTTCTGAACTCCTCAGAGCACCGAAGGAAGCCATCTAACTGTGTGAGGAGCAAGCTTGTTGTTGTGTGCAGGTAGAGTAGGCCTATAGCTCTCCGGTCTGACTGGTCCACCAATAGGAGAGAAGTTAATCCTTGAGACCCCACCCCTTCTCATTTGCATAATGAGGCAGATACACATAGAGAAATGTATAAAGGACAGGCAGACATAAATACCATGGGGGATATAAATAGGGTAGAAAATGCAACGGAAGAATAAAACAAAACAAAGATATAAAAAAACACACGTAAATAAATACATTTAAAGAAGAAAAACGGACAATAAATAAATAAGGTAATTATTACAAAGGTGAATAAATAAAGAAGCTAATTAAAATAGATTTATACATCCATGTCTCCTTGTATAATTTAATTACTGCCTACATTTATTTATTTATTGAGCATTTATTTATTTCTGTATTTATTTCTGAATTTGTCTGGATCGGTCCTCCATATGATGCTGACTCAGAATCAGTAAGATCACGTGACACTTCGGATACCGGTCTCTAGAGTTTTAAAGCAGTACACGCGGTACTTCCTGCCTGCTCAGGTGAGATTCAGTAGGTGATGTGGTTCAGGAACATACCCAGGTGAAGACAGAGAAGAAGGAGAAGACGATGGCGGCTCGGGCAGCGTCGGATCCTTCATTCAGAGGGTTGTCTTCTTCTTTAGAAACCTGCCACTGATTGGCCAGAAAACAGAAGCCCACGAACCAGACCAGGGTCCAGAGCGCTGCAGAGACCACATGGTTATTAATCACCTGAGAGGTAAAGATGACAGAAACAGAGGAGGCGGAGTCTCACCTGACAGCCCGATGTCGGCCATGACGGCCTTCTTCCTGTCCTTCACGCCGGTGATCTGCGGGAAGTAAACGTCCAGCGCCAGGAACCCGGTGCTACAGAGGAAACACACCGTCCCCATGGCGACAGCGTAGTTGCAGGCGTTGTGGTTGCGGTTGAAGATGCAGAACTCCTCCATGCTGTCGGGACGGTTAACGTAACCCTCGTTAGCAACGCAGCCCAGGATCACCATGGAGAAGAGCTGAAACAGAGCACAGGACAGCAAGCTCAATGCTAACAGACACATTCATTCTCATTAGGACAGGCTAGCACAGCACACTGTCTCCTCCGTAATCCGACAAATCACAGCACACTGTCTCCTCCGTAATCCGACAAATCACAGCACACTGTCTCCTCCGTGAACGGACAAATCACAGCGTACTGTCTCCTCTTTAAATAGACGAATCACAGCACACTGTCTCCTCCGTAAACAGACCAATCACAGCACACTGTCTCCTCCGTAAACAGACCAATCACAGCACACTGTATCCTCCGTAAACAGACCAATCACAGCACACTGTCTCCTCCGTAAACCGACCAATCGCAGCACACTGTCTCCTCCGTAATCCGACAAATCACAGCACACTGTCTCCTCCGTGAACAGACAAATCACAGCGTACTGTCTCCTCTGTGAACGGACAAATCACAGCGTACTGTCTCCTCTTTAAATAGACGAATCACAGCACACTGTCTCCTCCGTAAACAGACCAATCACAGCACACTGTCTCCTCCGTAAACAGACAAATCACAGCACACTGTCTCCTCTGTAAACAGACCAATCACAGCACACTGTCTCCTCCGTAAACAGACAAGTCACAGCACACTGTCTCCTCCGTAAACAGACCAATCACAGCACACTGTCTCCTCCGTAAACAGACCAATCACAGCACACTGTCTCCTCTGTAAACAGACCAATCACAGCACACTGTCTCCTCTGTAAACAGACCAATCACAGCACACTGTCTCCTCTGTAAACAGACCAATCACAGCACACTGTCTCCTCTGTAAACAGACCAATCACAGCACACTGTCTCCTCCGTAAACAGACAAGTCACAGCACACTGTCTCCTCCGTAAACAGACCAATCACAGCACACTGTCTCCTCCGTAAACAGACCAATCGCAGCACACTGTCTCCTCCGTAAAACAGAGCAATCACAGCACACTGTCTCCTCCGTAAACAGACCAATCACAGCACACTGTCTCCTCCGTAAACAGACCAATCAGACCAATCACAGCACACTGTCTCCTCCGTAAACCGACCAATCGCAGCACACTGTCTCCTCCGTAAACAGACCAATCGCAGCACACTGTCTCCTCTGTAAACGGACCAATCACAGCACACTGTCTCCTCTGTAAACGGATCAATCACAGCACACTGTCTCCTCTGTAAACCGACCAATCACAGCACACTGTCTCTTCTGTAAACAGACCAATCACAGCACACTGTCTCTTTCCGTAAACAGACCAATCACAGCACACTGTCTCTTTCCGTAAAACAGACCAATCACAGCACACTGTCTCCTCCGTAAACCGACCAATCGCAGCACACTGTCTCCTCCGTAAACCGACCAATCCCAGCACACTGTCTCCTCCGTAAACCGACCAATCGCAGCACACTGTCTCCTCCGTAAACCGACCAATCCCAGCACACTGTCTCCTCCGTAAACCGACCAATCACAGCACACTGTCTCCTCCGTAAACCGACCAGTCCCAGCACACTGTCTCCTCCGTAAACCGACCAATCACAGCACACTGTCTCCTCCGTAAAACAGACCAATCACAGCACACTGTCTCCTAGGGAAACCGACCAATTGCAGCACACTGTCTCCTCTGTAAACGGACCAATCAAAGCACAGTGTCTCCTCTTTAAACCGACCAATCACAGCACACTGTCTCCTCTGTAAACCGACCAATCACAGCATACTGTCTCCTCTGTAAACGGACAAATGAAAGCACACTGTCTCCTCTGTAAACCGACCAATCAGAGCACACTTTCTACTCTGTAAACCGACCAATCACAGCACACTGTCTCCTCTGTAAACGGACCAATCACAGCACACTGTCTCCTCTGTAAACCGACCAATCACAGCACACTGTCTCCTCTGTAAACGGACCAATTAAAGCACACTGTCTCCTCTGTAAAAAGACCAATCACAGCACACTGTCTCCTCTGTAAACAGACCAATCACAGCACACTGTCTCCTCTGTAAACCGACAAATCACAGCACACTGTCTCCTCTGTAAACGGACCAATCACAGCACACTGTCTCCTCTGTAAACCGACAAATCACAGCACACTGTCTCCTCTGTAAACCGACAAATCACAGCACACTGTTTCCTCTGTAAACGGACCAATTAAAGCACACTGTCTCCTCTGTAAACAGACCAATCGCAGCACACTGTCTCCTCTGTAAACAGACCAATCACAGCACACTGTCTCCTCCGTAAACGGACCAATCAAAGCACACTGTCTCCTCTGTAAACCGACAATCAGAGCACACTGTCTCCTCTGTAAACCGACGAATCAGAGCATACCGTCTCCTCTGTAAACCGACCAATCACAGCACACTGTCTCCTCTGTAAACGGACAAATTAAAGCACACTGTCTCCTCTGTAACCCAACCAATCAGAGCACACTGTCTCCTCTGTAAACGGACCAATCAAAGCACAGTGTCTCCTCTTTAAACCGACCAATCACAGCACACTGTCTCCTCTGTAAACCGACCAATCACAGCATACTGTCTCCTCTGTAAACGGACAAATGAAAGCACACTGTCTCCTCTGTAAACCGACCAATCAGAGCACACTTTCTCCTCTGTAAACGGACCAATCACAGCACACTGTCTCCTCCTAAAAACGACGAATCGCAGCACACTGTCTCCTCTGTAAACGGACCAATCAAAGCACACTGTCTCCTCTGTAAACCGACCAATCAGAGCATACTGTCTCCTCTGTAAACGGACAAATGAAAGCACACTGTCTCCTCTGTAAACCGACCAATCAGAGCATACTGTCTCCTTTGTAAACGGACAAATGAAAGCACACTGTCTCCTCCGTAAACGGACCAATCACAGCACACTGTCTCCTCCTTAAAACGACGAATCGCAGCACACTTTCTCCTCTGTAAACCGACGAATCACAGCACACTGTCTCCTCTGTAAACGGACCAATCACAGCACACTGTCTCCTCTGTAAACGGACCAATTAAAGCACACTGTCTCCTCTGTAAACAGACCAATCACAGCACACTGTCTCCTCCGTAAACGGACCAATCACAGCACACTGTCTCCTCCTTAAAACGACGAATTGCAGCACACTGTCTCCTCCGTAAATCGACCAATCACAGCACACTGTCTCCTCTGTAAACCGACAATCAGAGCACACTGTCTCCTCTGTAAACCGACGAATCAGAGCACACCGTCTCCCCTGTAAACCGACCAATCACAGCATACTGTCTCCTCTGTAAACGGACAAATGAAAGCACACTGTCTCCTCTGTAAACCGACCAATCAGAGCACACTTTCTCCTCTGTAAACGGACCAATCACAGCACACTGTCTCCTCCTAAAAACGACGAATCGCAGCACACTGTCTCCTCTGTAAACGGACCAATCAAAGCACACTGTCTCCTCTGTAAACCGACCAATCAGAGCATACTGTCTCCTCTGTAAACGGACAAATGAAAGCACACTGTCTCCTCTGTAAACCGACCAATCAGAGCATACTGTCTCCTTTGTAAACGGACAAATGAAAGCACACTGTCTCCTCCGTAAACGGACCAATCACAGCACACTGTCTCCTCCTTAAAACGACGAATCGCAGCACACTTTCTCCTCTGTAAACCGACGAATCACAGCACACTGTCTCCTCTGTAAACGGACCAATCACAGCACACTGTCTCCTCTGTAAACGGACCAATTAAAGCACACTGTCTCCTCTGTAAACAGACCAATCACAGCACACTGTCTCCTCCGTAAACGGACCAATCACAGCAAACTGTCTCCTCCTTAAAACGACGAATTGCAGCACACTGTCTCCTCCGTAAATCGACCAATCACAGCACACTGTCTCCTCTGTAAACCGACAATCAGAGCACACTGTCTCCTCTGTAAACCGACCAATCACAGCACACTGTCTCCTCTGTAAACGGACAAATTAAAGCACACTGTCTCCTCTGTAACCCAACCAATCAGAGCACACTGTCTCCTCTGTAAACGGACCAATCAAAGCACAGTGTCTCCTCTTTAAACCGACCAATCACAGCACACTGTCTCCTCTGTAAACCGACCAATCACAGCATACTGTCTCCTCTGTAAACGGACAAATGAAAGCACACTGTCTCCTCTGTAAACCGACCAATCAGAGCACACTTTCTCCTCTGTAAACGGACCAATCACAGCACACTGTCTCCTCCTAAAAACGACGAATCGCAGCACACTGTCTCCTCTGTAAACGGACCAATCAAAGCACACTGTCTCCTCTGTAAACCGACCAATCAGAGCATACTGTCTCCTCTGTAAACGGACAAATGAAAGCACACTGTCTCCTCTGTAAACCGACCAATCAGAGCACACTGTCTCCTCTGTAAACCGACCAATCAGAGCACACTTTCTCCTCTGTAAACGGACCAATCACAGCACACTGTCTCCTCCTAAAAACGACGAATCGCAGCACACTGTCTCCTCTGTAAACGGACCAATCAAAGCACACTGTCTCCTCTGTAAACCGACCAATCAGAGCATACTGTCTCCTCTGTAAACGGACAAATGAAAGCACACTGTCTCCTCTGTAAACCGACCAATCAGAGCATACTGTCTCCTTTGTAAACGGACAAATGAAAGCACACTGTCTCCTCCGTAAACGGACCAATCACAGCACACTGTCTCCTCCTTAAAACGACGAATCGCAGCACACTTTCTCCTCTGTAAACCGACGAATCACAGCACACTGTCTCCTCTGTAAACGGACCAATCACAGCACACTGTCTCCTCTGTAAACGGACCAATTAAAGCACACTGTCTCCTCTGTAAACAGACCAATCACAGCACACTGTCTCCTCCGTAAACGGACCAATCACAGCAAACTGTCTCCTCCTTAAAACGACGAATTGCAGCACACTGTCTCCTCCGTAAATCGACCAATCACAGCACACTGTCTCCTCTGTAAACCGACAATCAGAGCACACTGTCTCCTCTGTAAAC